ATAGATAGATAGATAGATAGATAGATAGATAGATAGATAGATAGATAGATAGATAGATAGATAAGATGGAAGGACAGACAAACAGACAGATAGATGGATGAATGGATGGACGGATTAGACGGATAGATAGATAGATAGACAGACAGATAGACAGAGAGATAGATAAACAGACAGACAGACAGATAGATAGATAGATAGATAGATAGATAGATAGATAGATAGATAGATAGATAGATGAATAGATAGATAGATGGATGGACGGACGGACGGACGGACGGACGGACGGACGGACAGACAGACAGACAGACAGACAGACAGACAGATAGATAGATGGATGGATGGATGGATGGATGGATGGATGGACAGACAGATAGACAGAGAGATAGATAGATAGATAGATAGATAGATAGATAGATAGATAGATAGATAGATAGATAGAGATAGATAGATAGATAGATAGATAGATAGATAGATAGATAGATTAGATAGATAGATAGATAGATAGATAGATAGATAGATAGATAGATGGAAAGGACAGACAAACAGACAGATAGATGGATGAATGGATGGACGGATGGACGGACAGATAGATAGATAGATAAACAGACAGATAGACAGAGAGATAGATAGATAGATAGATAGATAGATAGATAGATAGATAGATAGATAGATAGATAGATAGATAGATAGATAGATAGATAGATAGATAGATCGATCTCCAGTGTCTTCAGTGATGTTTGTATCTGAAGCTCTGGGTATCCGATTCCAGCTTTAATCTGATGTGAAGAGACGGAGTGAAGTCAAGCGATTCCAAACAAGCCAACGCTCCATCAGCGACTGCTCGTCCAGACCCGCTGAAGAACAGCAATGATGAATCAGTCTGCAGTGAGAACACTAGTAAACAAAACTTGCAGGATTTAGCATTAAAAGAACACCTTTATGGCTCATTCTGGCTTTCATTGCTGGCCGTCAAACACCGAGCTCTCGGAGAGGTTATTAAACTCTGCTGAATCTGCAGTCCAAGCAGCGTTTGTGTGTGTGTGTGTGTGTGCAGAGGTCTCCGTGGGTCAGCGTGCGCCGGCTCCACACACCAGAGGAATGCCTCATCTGAGCGGAGAGCGCCGCTGGGGAATGCAGATAATGCCGTAGATTATCAATGACATGTTTTTATGCTTCAGATTTATATTCCCCCTCTAGCAGGCAGTCAATGTCCCTGTTCTTTATGGAAATATATTTATGTCGGCTCGCTGTGAAACAACACACTGTAGAGCTCAGAGCTTCTCATGTTGGCGTTTCATGTTACTGGCGGCCTGTGTGTGTGTGATAAATAATGGCACGCAAGGGCTCATAAACTTCTGAATAAATGACCCGTTCTGAAAGAAAAACACTGATGCAGGAGAGGTTGTTTCTGACAATTTGTGTTAATGTCACATCACGTTACACTGCATTACACACATTTATGTATAATTACAAATCATATTGTTTGATGTATGTTGTTATTGTCAACCCTTTTGAATACATTTGATTTATCTAAATATCTTTGACCGGGTCCTTTTATACAAGTATGTTGAGGTCCCACAAGGTAATCAATAATCAGTAAAGAGCTCTTCAAGAAAACATGTTTAAATAGAAGATCAAGGATAGGCAAATTAAATATCTAATGTATGATGCAATAAATTCAATTTTCCAATAACCGATATACATTGTGCATCTCTATGAGAAATTATATTTTGGACCGTTAAGAGAGACAATTTTCACCCCAAATTCTCATTAATATATTATAAATATATATAAAAAAATATATAATATATAAAAAACACACATTAATTAATTTATTAAGTATTATTTACCTTCTAGGCTCATGGTAGTAATTGTTGTATGCCAAATTTAATTAAAAAAAAAAGTGTCCTTTATTTTATTTCTTTTGACATTAAGATTCATTTGTGTCAAGGGTTGAACTGGTACCTACTTATAGTGTTTAGAAGTAATGTTTTGTTAAAATAACAGTGGACACAATGAAGAGATCCAGACTCCGCGTGTTGTAAACCTGAGGTTAAGTGCCTCGCTGGAGCACAATGCTGATTGTTCATGGATTAACCCCTTGCACGGCTTGAACCTTCAACCTTTTAGTTAGTAGCCAAGATTTGAGACAACACAACCACACCACCCTAAATCTAAACCCTGAAATGAACTACAAAAACAGCTTTATTTCTCAGCTGAGGCCACATACGTGAGAAAACACAGCATTTTCTTGACGTTTTGCCCTGAGACAGCTTTTTTGTCCTGCGAAAATGGAGATTTGTGTGGATAAATATGAAAAACAATGACGCATGTTTAGTCATGTGATGCATATTGTACTGATAGATATCTATGTTTATGTTATTCACTTTCACAGTGTTGCTGAAAATAAAGGCATTCCTGCAGAGATGCAAAACACTTGCAATTGATTCGATAAAACATGAGGGAAAATACAAAGTTCTTGAACCTCTAGATGGCGCAGACTGATTGGTGCTTAAAAGAGAACTTCGGCACAAAATGAACCAATTACACATTGTTACCTAGTCAACCGTTATCTGAGATTTGTTTTCATGATTGCCGAATGTAAATAGTTTTATCTATAAAAACAGTTTAGCCTATAACGCTAGTATAATGCTAGTATATAGGGCATAGAGTAATGACAAATAAAAATCGCTTGTTATTACCACTAACAAGGCTCAAAATAGCCCCACATTAACACGACAGCATAATAAGGGTCCCTACATTCAAACCGAAGCATTGAGAACTTTGTCAGTGTCCAAACAGTTTAATAAGAAGATATTTTATACACACAGTCAACTTCAAAGCCATCTTTGAAAAATAGTCTCTACCAGTCGATCTACGAACGCCGATCCAAGTGCGCTGGTGAGATGTGAATAAGGTGATAAGGTGAGCGCGAACAGTAGGCTACGTGTACATATTGAAGAGTAGAAAATGGTTTGTGTTTCTTCCGGAAACAACGGACCATATGAGATTCTGCACAGTTCAGCGCACTTGGGTCGGCGTTCGTAGATCGACTGGTAGAGACTATTTTTCAAAGATGGCTTTGAAGTTGACTGTGTGTATAAAATATCTTCTTATTAAACTGTTTGGACACTGACAAAGTTCTCAATGCTTCGGTTTGAATGTAGGGACCCTTATTATGCTGTCGTGTTAATGTGGGGCTATTTTGAGCCTTGTTAGTGGTAATAACAAGCGATTTTTAATTTGTCATTACTCTATGCCCTATATACTAGCGTTAAACTAGCGTTATAGGCTAAACTGTTTTTAGAGATAAAACTATTTACATTCGGCAATCATGAAAACAAATCTCAGATAACGGTTGACTAGGTAACAATGTGTGATTAGACCAAAGGTTCATTTTGTGCCGAAGTTCTCCTTTAACTCTCACATCATTCTCTATAGGGCACAGCTGATTGGTTCCTGCTGTATCAGTAGCCAATGAGCTCGCAGCTCAATATTCAAATACTTGGTCAGTGTTAGCTGTGTCAGTTGTAGCAAACCCTCCACCTTCCCCAGCTCCACCTGATCTGCTACGGGTTATTCATGCTATAAGCGTGTCTTAGTCGCTCACAGCTGATGTCAGTGTGTATATTTATTCGACCAAGACCAAACATATCAACGTTGTCATATCAATTACCTTGCCAAACATTTAGAGTTGTCGTGACAGAATTGCGTTTAACAGTTTGTGCAGCTCTCTGCCTATTTTGCTAATAAAATCTCTTTATCTGACCTCTCTGTATGATCTCGGTGAGCTTTTGTCACATTTTATCAATGCGTAGTAAGATGATTGTGGTGTTTTCTGGCGTCTTAAGGCCCTTGCACATCCGAAATTTGTACGAATCTTTTTCGTTTTCGTGATTCGGTGGCTCTGAATTGTTAAAACACCATTTCAACAACATGGTTCAAACCATTCAAACAGCTTGCTACGGATGCAAAAAACGCAGAAAATCGATGGCAGTGTGCAAGTGTGATTGACATAACGCGAGGTAGTATTTATTTTTTAACGTGCGAAAATTTCGGACACGAATTTGCAAGGACCTTAAAGGGATAGTTGACTTTGAAATTAATTTTTGATATGTTTTATTTTACCTCAAGGGCATCCAAGGTGTAGGTGTCTTTGTTTCCGCAGTATTTTCAATTTTGATATTTTTAGGTCAAACCGGTGTTGTCTGTCAGTCATATAATTGAGGTCTATGGTCACCACCTCAAAGAGAATGCACAGAGAAGTCCAAATTAAACATGATTTAATGACTCGTAAACGTAAGTACACATTGATGGCCTAAGACACGAAGCGAGCGGTTTGTGTGAGAAAATCAACAGTATTTATATCGTTTTACCTCTTGTAACCACAGCCACGTCCAAGTGATCTCTCTCGCGGTTGCAAAAAAAAACTGTTGTCGGTTTATATATATCGAAATCGTCTTCCATTGCGTTTTCCTGTATATCTAAATATGTTTAGATCTTCACAGTGAAGGGTAAAACTTCCGAAATCTCTGTGTAAACAATGAGTGACATGCTCGCGCGAGAGATCACTTCCACTTTTCAGATCACTTGGACGTGGCTGTGATTACAAGAGGTAAAAACGATATAAATATTGTTCGTTTTCTCACACAAACCGCTCGTTTCGTGTCTTAGGCCATCAATGTGTACTTACATTTATGAGTCATTTAATCATGTTTAATCTGGACTTTTCTGTGCTGCTCTTTGAGGTGGTGACCATAGACCTCCATTATATGACTGACGGACAAGAACGGTTTGACCTAAAAATATCAAAATTGAAAATACTGCAGAAACAAAGACAACTACATCTTGGATGCCCTTGAGGTAAGATAAAACATACCAAAAATTAATTTCAAACTGAACTATCCCTTTAAATGTGGATGAGAAACCTTTGGAGAATGCTTGAGCGTTTTGTACTGGATTAATGCAGACGTGGCCTGAAGTGTGTCTGTGTTTTGTAGGTGCTTCAGATGGACGTGAAGTTGGAGAACATCCTGAAGATCCTAATGGAGCATTCCCAGCCCAAACCAGTGCTGTTGCAGAAACCCAGTCAGTGCAGCGTCACCGTCATGAAGCGGCTGGGCGTCAGCATGGACGAGAGCCAATGACACGCTCGCATGGACAACTCGCGCTATGCATTGTGGGAAACGAGGTCCGAGCGGACGAGCTTGGTGTTTCCTGTTTCTGACTACAAACTCATTTGAGTAGCGAAGTGGGAACTGTCCGTCTTAATTAATTGGACGCATTATTTGATTGTTTTTATGGTCAGCGCGCTCACGGATGGTGTCGTTCGGACACGTTTTTGGTCAAGCAGAAACATCGAAATCATTAATAATGGCGTTGATGCATGGCTGTGGCTTTTTAAAACAGCAAAACACCAATGATAGATGCTAATGACGTTTAATAGCGCTCTGAGAAAGAAGGCTATTCACGGCTGTTGACGTTAAGAGGAGAGCCAAGATTCCCCAACTCCAACATGTGACACTGTTTTTCCCTTGAAGCACCTTTTAGATACGTTTGTTTGATCAGATCTAGGATTATTTTTCTTATCTGAGATAATTAAACGTTGAAAGGCGAGGTGAGTTGACGGAAAATCAATTAATGAGATGAAGAAACACATTCCACTGTTCTTTTCCAGAAACCACAAAGCTGTCTTGAGGAAAATACCTTCATCCCGGATCTCTTCTCCAGACATGTTCGTCCGTTGGCCGTTCGCCTGGCACAGAACTAACAATGAATTCTTTCTGTAAGCGGGAAAAAACACGGTAAAATCACACTATCTGACAGGTTATTGGTTTTATTATATGTCGACAACAGCAATATAAAAAAATAAGGCAATGCTCAATAAATAATTTACACATTTATAGAGTATAATAATAAGTGCAATAAAAATTATTACTTTTAAAATATCATGAAAAAATATACCATTCAAATGTTTGAAGTCAGTAAGATTTTTTATGTTTTTATTCTGTTCACCAAGACTGCATTTATTTAATTAAAATTGCAGTAAAAACAGTAAAATTGTGAAATACTATTATAATTTAAAATAAGTGTTTTCTATGTGAATATATGTTAAAATGTCATTTATATCTCTGATCAAAGCTGTATTTTCAGCATCATTACTTTTTTTTCTTATTAATATTATTCATATTTTGCGGAAACCGTGATACATGTATTCAGCATTCAGAGTTTTAGTCATAACTTTTTTTCTTAACATGAAAAAAAGTCTTTTGTAACATCATAAATGTCACTTTTAATCAATTTAATGTCTTCTTGCTGAATAAAAGTATTAATTTCTATTTAAAAAAAAATCTTACTAACCCCAAACTTTTGACCAGTAATGTAATACATTATATAAATATTATAAAATAAATTTTTAATAATATTTATTACATACTATGTAAAACCTTCCACATATTGAATGCCATCATTGTTATTAATAATAATAATAATAAAGATGTATACATTTAAACTAGGGCTGTGCAAAAATTAATTGCAATTAATCGCATCCAAAATAAAAGTCTGTGTTTACATAATATATTTGTGTGTGCTGTATATAATTATTTTGTATAAATACCTATGCATGCATGTATATATTTAAGAATTATTTGCGCTTAAATTCTGCATATATATATATATATATATACATTATCTATATTATATAAATATAAATATTTTATATATAAATAACACATTTTCTTAAATATATACATGCATGTGTGTGTATTTATATGTACAAAATAATTATATACAGCACACACAAATATATTATGTAAACACAGACTTTTATTTTGGATGCGATTAATCTTGCACAGCCCTAATTTAAACACATATGTAATCTATAACATGCGGTCACACACAGGTGTCTGTTTATTGGTGTTTTCTATATTATTCATTACCTGAAAAACCCTGAAGAAGAGGGCGTTTAATGGCTGGATGAGCTCTTGTGTTTTTTCGCTGCTGCTGACACAGCTCTGTACAGTTTTATAAAAACAAAAAGCAATGTAAATATTGTAGTAATGCCTTATATATGTAGTCCTGAGGGTTTGGATTCATATTCTGAGGGAATGATAAACTGATCTGTTGTAATCATTCGCTCCAGAACACTATAGTGTAAATAAAACATGCATTTAATTATGTATCATGTTGCATTTTGGCCGGTTGCATGCGGGAGTACCTGTCACGCTTTGAGTCACACGTCATGTGTGAATGATTAAAGTTTGGAGCCGGAGAAATTGAAAATGACTTGTTTCCATCGGCTTCCAGCAAACCACGTATTCTGTGCGGGTCTAAGCCCTGAACATCTGACTGAGAGACCTGCAGGTTTGGTTATGGCTTGTTTTTAAGGCTGTGAAGGAGAAGTGGAGTGTGCAGGACACACACTGGTCTGATGTGCCGGATCACCACATCTGTCCTCGGCTGATGAGTGATTCTCTTTAATGCCGGGTCTGCTTGCTAAACATCTTTCAAGGCTGAAAACATACTCATATTTCCCTCTTTCTCCCTTAACCCTGTAAAGTTAAAGTAAAAAATATCACTTTATTCAACTTTTGGATACGTCAGGCGCATAAATATGGAGCTCAAATTTTGAGGTAGAAAAACAGCTAATGTAATTTAGTGCAGTTAAAAATCGCTGGGTTGTTTTAACCCAACTTTGAGTCAGATATGGACAAACACAGCCATTGGGTTCCATTTTAGCAGCGTTTTGGTTTGTCCATATTTGACCCAAAGTTGGGTTAAAACAACCTAGCATTTTTTAGAGTGTATATGGCAAATGACAGTATAGCAGATACTTACACAACATACTAATAAACAGCCTATCAGTAATCACTATATCTGCCGATATTATAAGATTATTGTCTTAGTGATGAAATTTAAATGATCAAATTTTTAAAATAAAATGAAATGAATAAACCTTCCACCTGATGATCATATTTGACACTCACATTTTTATATATGCTTATGTGTGTATACTGTATACACTTTAAAAAATGCTGGGTTGTTTGAACCCAAATTTGGGTGAAATATATGGACAAACCCAAATGTTGGTTTAAAAATGTAATAAAAATATTTACAGTTGAAAGTGAAAGCCAACGCAACATTTTTTTAACCCAACATTTGGGTTTGTCCATATTTCACCCAAATTTAGGTTCAAACAACCCAGCATTGTTTAGAGTGAAAAAAAAAAGATAAAGATGTTTGGATAATCTTGTAAATCTTCAGTTCAGCAATGTTCATCTTGAAATATTACACTGCAAAAAAAAAAAATTTAAAAAAGGATATGATCAATAAGTTATGACAATGTGTTTTTACATTGCTTTAATTTCAACAGTTTTTGTAAGTTATTAAAGATTCAACTCATTTTTTAAAGTCAGTTTAGTGTAATTTATATTGAAATGACTTCAACATCCAAATTTACTATATTACTAACAATTATTCTTGTTTATTTCTTTCACAGCAAAAAGTTGTTTGTACAAATATACTAAAATATCTTTTATTTACTTAAAACTGTAAACTACCACTCAGACCACAGAAGGCATGGATGGAGTGTGTGCAACAGGTTTGATCATTCAGAAGCCTTGGATATTTGCGTATCAAATATGATAATGTAGACTTTATAGGGTTGTGGTTTAAGAATGAATTCTCCTAATATATATATATATATAATTTATATGTGAGAGGTGGGCAGAAATCCTCCACCTCCTCCATAATGTGGCCTGTTTGAGCCGATGACAGGCCCGGGGCGTGTGCCGTCACTGGGGCCCCTGTGGCCCCGAGCAGCAGTGGAGCCTGTGAAAGCAGACACTGGGGGGAACAGGTGTGAGGCGGGGGGGCGCCAGCTGCGCCTCCACAAATAGCAGAGCGGGAACAGGCGGCACTGGCGGCTGTTGTTGTGTTGGACGGAGGGGCAGCAGTGACACGTTCATCCCTCCATCCGTTCATCCCTCCATCCATTTATCCGTTCATCCATCAGTCCATTCATCCATCAGTCCATCTCTCTGTCCATCCGTCTGTCCATCCATCTATCCGTCTGTCCATTTATCTGTCCATCGATCCGTCTATCCTTCCATCCATCCATCTGTCCATCCGTCTGTCCATTTATCTGTCCATCCATCTGTCCACCCATCCTTCTGTCCATCCATCCATCCGTTTATCCATCTGTCCATCCGTCTGTCCATTTATCTGTCCATCCATCCGTATGTCCATCCATCCATCCATCCATCCATCCACCCGTCTGTCTGTCCTCATGTCTGCTGCTAGTGTCTGGGAGCGCTAGGATGGATCCAGGCCTGTTCTTTCTCTTTCTTGCATGATAAAGTGAAAATCTGAATTGACTTTAAGTTGGAAGCCTGATTTGTGACTATTGACCATCCACGTGGTATGATATATAAAATATTACTGTTTATATAGATACATTTATATTGATTTTTTATTTAATTTGTATATAATTATATGGGATTAATTTATATATATATATATATATATATATATATATATATATATATATATATATATTTTATATATATCAAATATTTTTTATTTATATATTAAATATAAATATTTTTATTATAATTTATACAAAATCATATAATAAATAAAAAGGACTTCATATATCATTATATATAACATTATTTTATAGAAAAAAAAATATATATATGTGTATTATATAGGTTTTCATGGAAATGATTAAAATAAAAAAAAAAGATTTTATAATATATTTTATTATATAGTTTTTAATATATTTCTGTGAAAAACAATGGTTTTACATCTAGGCTATATATAATTATTAAAACATGTGTTGTGTTATTCCTCGTCATAAATCTGTACAGCTTTGTATGAAAACCGAGGTAAGGTTAATACGTTTTTTGTTTTGTTTCTGAAAACGTTGCTTTTTTGTCACTGACCAAGTTTCCATGGAATGTTTTATGCAAATTATTGCAAGTTGCAAACAAATAAATAAATGTATATGCTCATTGGAGGAGGGAAATGTGTCATTTGGTAAAAAAAATAAATAAATATATAAACGTGAAAACAAAATTTAATAAAATTTTAGATGAGCATCAAAAAAGTCATGTGACTGCCTCAACATGTCATGTGACTGAAGACTGGCTGAAAATCAAAACTGACATACGAGACGTAAAGAGTAAGTTACTACCATTTATTATATTACGTGAGGATTCCATTTCCTTTTCTATTTTTGCACTAAATGTTTGCACTAAATGTTTCTCTGTTTAATAAGCGTGGCCTAAAACATGGCCCATCGTCGCGCTCGTGCCCGGTCTGCTGTACAGCTGCGGGAATGTCAATGGAAACACATCATGCTGTTATTGGGCACACGTGTGGACTGGACTGGGGTGTGTGGTGAACTGGGTCGCATTGCAGTGGACCTCTCTTCCAGACGCGAGGAGGATTGCAGGCCTGGAAACACTTCAGTGCTGGCTTGGCGTCCCGAGGAGAATCAGAGAAACGAGGGGAGAACAGCTGCTGTCGACTGTACACTACACGACTGGACACACACACACACACACAGAAAGCAAAAGGTACGTGTGCATCATGTCGCAGCTGCTGCTGTTAAACCCCTTTAAATCTTGATGAGAAGGTCGATCATCAGCCTAGAAGGACATGATAAAGTCCGAAACACTTCACTGATCAGATCTTAAAATAGACTGTCCATAACTTTTCTATATATATATATATATATATATATATATATTGATTATTATATATTTTTTATTATATATATATA